ACAAGGAAAACCTTGACTCCATTGAAGATGTCTCAGAGTGAGATATTACAACAAAAGAAGGAGCCATTCATTTCTTATAATTTTTGTTGAAAGGTTGCAGTCAAGAGCGAGTACAAAAATTCACTAGACCTTGCTGTTTGATAATAATACAGTCTAGCATGCACAACGCACAATCATCATCAAATCATGCGAACAAATTTCCAGTTCCTGAAGTTTGTTTCTTAAATATTCATGTACGTGTACATTTGTATTTTTTCTACAGGATGTATCATGTACCATAGCAAAAAAAAGTCGTACAAGACGAACATTTTCAACATCCTTCTGTTTCATTCGCACTTTATATATATATAATATATATATATATATATATAATATATATATATATATATATATATATAATATATATATAAAGTGCGTGATACACCGTCTTAGTCTTAGAAAATTCTACCGTCATCATTGCAACTTGGGTAATTAAATCCATTCCCATCACAGCAGGTTTCAAAAATGGAAATGCAGCATTATTATGGCACAAGAAGAAAAACCACCAAAGGAACTTGACCTGATGAAATTACAATAATATGATCATCATGCTCCTGAATAAGGTGTAACCCACACAAAGCCAAAAGAATTACTTTGAATCACTGCATTTCAGCCCTAAAACACTTTGTCCTATTACGGCTACAATTAGCGTTATTGTACAAGAGGAATACTGTACAGGAATCACATTCTCTGCAGCATCTCTGTCTCAGCTATAAGTGTGCAAAACTAATGAGTCACTGCCAAAAATTTAGCATGCAAAAAGAAAGGGTGTATACCAGAAATTTATTTCTATCATTTTCCACTTGCTTCATTGTATTTTAATTCACTAAGAACCACATCTAAATCCTTAATTTTCATTGAAATGAAAAGTTTTACAGCAAAACCGTAAAGATTCCTTGACTTACTATAATCCAGAAACTGTCAAAACATTACAAGAGCCCGTTTTGACTTTCTTATAACCAAAAGGCTAACAATAAAGTTTTACAGTAACTGAAAATGATTAAACCCAAGCAACAAAACAGCGTTGTTCTTCTCAGATAGTGAAAAAAGAATTTTGCAACAATATTATTTTTGTAATTTTCAGCTTCAATTTTAACTCATGGGTATACATATGTTAAAAAGCAATAAAGTTCCACATGAACTGTGCACTATCATTCTGCTATAAAATACACTGTTGTTTAAAGTCAAAGAGGATTGCCTACGTGAATATGATGAGAATGCAGTACAGACTGTGCACAGTGGTACTGTTTAGTACTGACACACGACTCTCAAATGAATGAAAAAATGGTCACTAGTTAGGGTTACTCACATTCTGTTCAAGCATTTGAGAACAAAATGCATTCTCGGATTTTGCCTGACAATAAATAAGAAAGCTATAATGCTAGTGTTAACAAATGGAGTCAGTAGCAATGAAGCCAAATGTTATGGCATACAATAACTTCTGAGCCAAAATTATGATTAAAAACTCTCAGCTTCGGGGAAGAAATATGTAGTAGTTCTTGAATTTCTCAGTATAGAAAGTGTTATAATATAATCCACGATGCTGGTTTACAATTTATATAAATTTTATTGTAAACCAGCATCATGGATTGAACTTGAAGTAGATTTATGTTGTTTACTTTACTCACTGAATGATCAACTATACAATGTTAAATCAACGACATAGAAGACATAAAATCTATAAGCTACGTGTACACAATTTTTTTTTAAAAAGGCGATACTAGTAGCTCCAACAAAATGCAAACTATTTCTTGACCTCAAGCAATATGACAGAAAACAGAAATTTTGACAAAACTGAGTCCTGACTGATTGTAAGCAGCGTGTGCAACTCAAAATATATCAATCACTCACACACTAACTCAAGAATGAGATGAGACTGATGTGTGTATTTTTCCACTGGCAACACACAGAGCTATGCTGAGCATTCAAGATTGTGCTCTGCTGTTGCTGAAGAATGATCTGTCTTTAGCTCTCTATACAGATAAGAGATGAGACAAGTCTGGGCACATCGGCAGTTCTTCCGTTCTCAGCAGCTTTTGTCTTTGAGAATATGTTGACCAGGTATATCTATAAAAGCGGTCAAGTGTGGGCAGCTCTGGTTCTTTTTGGTCATCTCTCCTCTCTTCGAAGCTCATCACAAGCAATGAAAGACGCAAAGGGCACTGGGGACCAACAGAAATTTTAAAAATGGCAGTCAGAAATTGCCAAAGGAAAAGATTCAGAAGTGGTCATTTTGTCTATAGTAACATGGTTGAATTACACATAAAGTAGGTAAATGACAAAATAAAATTAATAACAACAACGAATGTCATATTTTCAATCGAATGAATAAATTGTACCTCTATCTATTAAAATCAACAGAAGACAGCACGTGTCACAGATCAACACTATTTTTTATCTCTCTGAACTCTGTAATTTATGTAAAGTTTCTTGGATACTACGAACAAATAGTTGGCATTAAAATGCAGA